CTTTTGCAAACATTTTGGAAATCATAATATATATACTTTTATATCTCATATAAAATATATTTTGCAAAAACAAATCTCAACGATTGAAATCGGCTGCCGACAGTCTTGGTTTCCATCAGAGAGAGTGCATCCCTGATCATTACCTTTGTCCGACAAAGAGTCTGATTCTGTCACTATGATCACCCACTCAGATGAATTCTCAGACTGTCCCAACATACCCAGGTTTTGACCCTCGCTAAGGATCTCATTGATTGGTACATCAAAGACAGCCCAATCCGACACCTAGTGCGGTATCATAATTGAGTCTAGGGGTCGGGTGTAACTTTCCAGTTTTGCCCATTAATCTCCAAGGTACAGAGCAATACTGGAAATCTGGTCCGGTTCAAAGATTCAATTAATCACACACTACATGTGCCTTGGGTCTCACCCTGGCGGCTGAGACAGGCCACCCCAACCGACTTGGTGGCACATCAGTGTCAACCTTATCAGGATAGGTCTCCTAGACCGACCCACTAGCTGTGAACATTATAAACTAACACGAGTCTCATTAAGTGTCCAGTTTAAGGGCATACAAAAACTGTCAAACAGTTTATGGGTCGGGCTGGGCTTTTACACTTCATAAGCAGGATTTTGTTAGGCCCGAGCCCGGCTTGATAACGAGCCTACAACTTGGGCTCGAGCTTGTTCCTAATAAAAAGCCCGAAGCCCGACCTAATAGAAAGATGGTCGCCGGTGCTGAGTTTGCGTGACTGTGTTCGTCGGTGTTGATAAAGTTGAGCTAAGATTTTGACAGTGAAAAGGAAAAGTGAGTTCATGTTAGAGAGAGAGAGAGAGAGAGAGAGAGAGAGGACTCACCGTCGCCGTCGGTCCTTGTGTTCGCCACCTCGTCGGTGCCTGAGTTTGCATATGAGATTCTGAGAAAGAAGGAGAATTGAGAAGAGGAACGAGAGAGGGAGAGGGAGAGAGAGAGACTCATCGCCGGTTCGTCGGAGTTCACTTGTAAATTCGAACCGGGCTTTTAGGCCCGAGGTCAAACCCGCAGGCTCAAATCTGTATTCAAACCCATTCGGGAGCCAGGCCGGGCCAGGTTGGCCCGTCGGGCTATCCGGCTCATGAACAGGTCTACTCCGCACTCTCACGAGTGTATCAAAAAACTCTCCTCCTAAAACCATCCCTTCAAGAAAATGGTCATGTGTGCATCACGTGATTTATTAAAATTTTACCCACCTTACACGTATTTGCTTTTATCTACTTCATTCAGAGTTCGGATCTACCTATCCGCAGGACATTACAGCTGTACATTGGGAACATCTTCCCTATTTATACGTTACAATGGGGAGATGTTCCTAATTACAACTGTATTGTCCTGTGTGGTAGGATTATTGTGAGTAGGATATCCGATTGCTTCATTTGACATTTCAAGAGGAGAAAATGACTTGTTTTTTATTGAATTCAAAAAACCATTTTCCCACATTATTTATATGTCACCCTACCTCCCATTTCAACATTGTAATAAAGGTGGAAACTTCCCAAACATTAAACGTATATGATAATTAAAATATCAATTTATTTTGATATTTTAATAATTCATTATACATAGAATACATAAGTGTTTGAAAATTAATTTATTCATATCAATATTATTGAATATTCAAAACTTAATATTTAAATATTAGTTTAATATTATATGAAATTGATAATTATTATATAAACATTTAGTAATTTAAATGTATTTATTTATTTTTAAAATTTCAAAACTTAATTTTTAGCAATTTTCAGGTAAATTCAGAAAATTATTCATTTTGAAATTTAATTTTGTTAATACAATTTATTTATTGATATTTTCATTTACATTGGTTTTTGGCAATTGTTAAATATTAAATTGAAAAATTATTGGAAAATTTTAACTATATTTATAATTTTCATAACTATTTAAAAAATTTAATACTTTTTTGAAAATAAATAAATTGAAAACTTTTAATAATTTCCATAATTAACTATTAGTAATTTACATTGGTTTTGGTACTTATTAAATTGAAAAATTATTGAGGAATTTTAGCATTGATAATTTATATTTGGTAATTATTAATAATTTCTATAATTATCAGTAATTTACATTGCTTTTTGGTATTTATTGGGGATTTTTTTTAGTGATTTTCATAAACTAGTTTTCATGTTTTTGGTAATTTAATTTAGTGAAGGTTAATTTAAAAATCTAAATTACTAAAGTTTTTGTATTTTTAGTAATAATTATTCATAAATTCAAAATTTTTTGAAGATTAATTTATTCAAATATACAAATTTTGAAAATATTATTCATATGAATTTGGAAATTTATTCATATTTTTTTGAAAAGTAATTTACTTATATCAATATTTGTACTAAGGATTTTTAAGATATTCATTTTTTTCTTTCTTTTTTTATATTTTCTATTATGCAAACAATAATAAATTATAAATAGAATTAAATCTCTATTGTCTTCAAGATTTAAGCTTCATAAGGATTTTGTCATCTAGGTAATTGACTTTACACATCTTCTTCTCAGATACCAGGATGAGGACGATTTCCTAACTATCTGGCTCCGTGAAACTCTTCACATCAAGGGCTTCCTCTTTAGATTTTTTCAAGTGGTCACCGAATTTTCGTACAGGCGAAGACCCCTCAGTTCTTCCAATCTAGATATCTTTTCCTAAGTTGCCAATCAT